CTGATTGTTTTAAATGGATTGTTTCATAACAAAGGTTTGTTTGCATTGGCGCTAATTTTGCTTTGCTGTTCTGAGGGGCCATTTTTGGTAGGAAGGCGGGATAAAAATATAATGAATTGTGTTTTTTATAAAATAATAAACGTGGCATACAATCCTCTGTAATCTAAATTAATCTGGATTGTTCTGGAAAGCAGAATATTCGTCAAATGAATTAACCAATTCTGGTACTGGGAATATCAGACAATATAAGATGGACTGACTGACTGATTTGACAAGAGAATTTGTGTGTGTTTTTTCCCCATGCAAATAAATTACGTGATTTTAACTCATAGGTGAACTGAGAATTCTTCTGAGGAAATCATGCAGAAGTGCCCTCTTTTCTTTGCCAGATTGGTTACAGTATTATTTGCATGACCAATTGTGTGACGGACACCCTGGTAAAAGGGTGGCGACACGCAATGGATTACTGTTGCCCATACAGTTTTTCTCAGCAGGAGTCTGTCCTTTATGGTCTGTGTTGCTGTTGTGTGCTGTCAAAACATCTCTGATGTCAGAGGTGTTTTGACAGCACACAACAGCGACACAGAGCCTAAAGGACAGACTTCTGCTGAGAAAAACTGTATGGGCAACAGTAATCCATTGGGCGACCCAATGAATGAGTGACCTCCAAAATATCCTTGTCCCCAACTGCATCTGCTAAACTCTTGCAAAATTAAACCTGTGGTTCCTTTAGCGAGTCAGTCCATTTCATATCTGTTCTTCCTCATTTCCTGCTGCCTTCCACCTTTCCCAGCATTGTTGTCTTTCCCAGAGAGTCCTGCCTTCTCATGATTCTCAGAGAATCAATCCTACGTTCTCATGTCCTGAGGACAGCCTCAATTTCATCATTTTTGTTTCCAGAGATAGTTTAGGGTTGATTTGATTTAGGACCCATTTGTTCGTCCTTCTGGCAGTCCAGCGTATCCACAGTGTTCTCCTTCAGCACTACATTCCAAACGAATCAATTTTTTACCTGTCAGCTTTATTTACTGTCCAGCTTTCACACCCATACATGTTGATTGAGAATACAAGAGTGCAGCTGATCTTGGTCTCCAGTGACACATCCTTACATTGGATGAACTTTTCTATTTCCTCCATTCTTGCCCTTCCAAATCTCAATCTTCTTCTGATTTCTTCACTCTAGCTGTAGTGCCTAGGTTATATGTATTTCCATGGTTGTAGGCGGGATATAGGCCATGTCGGTCTGTGCAAGCATTATAGGAAAAAGAAGACTAGAAGGATAGAAATTTCGATTAGGCATCCTTCAGTCCTGAGAGACTATGGTAACGTGCTCTGTATGGAGGACTTGGAACAGCATCTAGTGTGGCTGAGGAGGCCAATTCGAGAGGGACCATCCCTTCCACACTGAAGACAAATACAATCTGTACCCCGTCCAGCTCCCTGATTTTGCTACTTTCGTGACAGCCTCTTTGCCTCAGCCTGCTGGACAAGGGTCTCTTCAAATTTGAAGAGGATAGAAATAAGAAGTAAAAAAAGACAAAAATAGGGTGGCACTTTCACGACTGACCTTTATATTTTTTAACGTGAGCTTTCATGGACACGTCGACTTCAATCGGACATATCTACATGGTTTCACTTGAAACTGGGTCCCAGTGTTTAAAACAATCTGACTGTACCTCAGGGGTCTCAAACATGCAGCCCGGGGGCCATTTGCAGCCCGCCGGATGATAGTTTGTGGCCCCCGCCTTGCCTGCCCCCCTGAAGCGCCCACGCGTCCTCTGCTGTCAAGAGTAAAAAAAAGCCTCGCCTCGCTCGCCGGCTGTCTTTGAAGATAGTGCAAAATGCACCCTCCATCTGGAACTGCAGCCTGCCAGCCCGCCCACCTGAGTGTGCCTTTTTTTTGAGGGGGGTCTTCAGAGGAAGGTTGCTGGACCTCCATGCATGTGTGTGTGTGTGTGTGTATGTGCGTGCACGCACCTGTGGGGGCCCCACCCCTGTTCTGTTTAATTTCATGGTAACCGATGGGGGCTTTTCTCCTTTGGCAACGTGATTCTGGGAGGCTTAAACATTTTACCGATGGGGGCTTTTCTCCTTTGGCAACGCGATTCTGGGAGGCTTAAAAAAAAATTTTATGTCGTGTCCTCCTCCCCCCCACTAGGCGGTCGCCAAAGCTCCCTCCCTTCTCTGCTTCTTCGTCCTGCTGCTGCTGGTGGTGATAGTGAAGAAGGAGCTGGAGAGGGTCGTGGCCGGGGGTGAGGGGTCATGCGCTCCTCCTCCGAGCCCCAGCCGAGGTAAGGAAACTCCTGGGCAGCTTCCTCGGGCTCTTGCTCTGCTTGGTGGAAAATCTGATGCGGCCCAGACTCACCCAGACTCTGCCTCTAGCAGCCCCCAGGTAAATTGAATTTGAGACCCCTGCTGTACCTGATGCATGGAATAGAGGGGCTTACACAATATGCTGGCCTGAAGGCTTAATATATATGTATTTTTCAGCTCTAGGACGAATGAGGGCATATATGTGTTTATTGCAGAAATAAAGTCCACAGTAAGGGAACAGGGATCTTCCCGAATAACCATGCTTCTGCATTATTTCCCAAAAGAAAATGCACACAATAAAATGCTGAGGAAGAGCAAAACTTTTTCTCCCCTTTTAAGCCACTCTTATTGCACAGTGGGAATAATATCCAATAATGTCTTGGAATGGTATTTGTTTGATTTAAAAAAAAAAAACTCACAAAAGATTCAGACCTTGTCTCAGGGAGAAATTTTCAGCGAATGGAAAAATGTCTACCCTGCCAGAAAGCTTTTTCATTTCTCAGGCTGAGCCCCTGTTGACGGTTTGTTTTGACACTTGGCAAAACAGAATTTTTCAGAGGCCACTTGCAGGATAGGATACAGGCGGCCGAGCTAACAGTGGGAAACGAAGACTCCTTGTCTTTTCAGATCCCCTCCCTTCTGCCTATTTCAGGTCCTTTCGGGGATATTCCAATAATAAGTTTTCATTTTTGACTTTGGGATAGAGAGCCTGCTATAACAACTGGTGTAAATGGGAGAGAAGGCATGAGTGCAAACATTATCTCCATCAGAGCCAGGGGCCAGGGGCCAGGAGCTACGTTTCATGAAATTCAGTGGGTTTTTACCTCTTTTTGCACCTTTTATAGGATGAGACTCATGAACCGGACACGTCATGACCAGACCTTGAAGATAAACAACATTTGGAATTCCAGTAACCGTATTGGTAATTGTAATCCAAAAAGCATTCCAAACTCAGCATCCCTTTTAATTTTCACAGTGGCAGGGAATTATTTTTCAACAGGAGTCTCTGGATTCAGGGGTAAAGCGACAGCCATATCTGTGCCCAAGATACTGTGGATGTGGGAGCTCCTCTGACTTAAATAGCATTTATGGGTCATAAAACATACTTTTGGCAAAAAGTCACCCTCTGTAGTAATCTACAGGACTACGGCTTGGCCCCTGAGCTCAGTGCTATTTTTGCAATATCCTGCTTTCTCATCTCCAAAGAAGCATTTGTTTTAGATTACTGAATCCTGAGTTAATCCCTCTAGAGCTGTTAGAAGCTCATCTCTTGCAGCCAAACTAAACAAGATGATAGTTTTGCATTTAGCAGCAGAACTGCCTTAAGAACTAAAGGATATTTGCACATCCTCCAACAAGATGTGCAATTTTTTAAAAGAAAAACCCTCCAGACCTTTCAGGTTAGTTTTTGTCTGGTGATTAGGATGTGAGCAATATTTTTCATTTCTGTGTTGATCTTCCAACACAAGGGCTTTGAAGAATGCATCTCTGGAGGGAGCATTTTTATCAGCTTCTTACAGAAATGCTACTGCCAAATTTGGGAACTTTAGCCTACAAAGCTCATGTTCTATTACTAAGATACATCTGCAGGAGAGTTTGTGTGCTGAAGTTGTTGGGCTCAGAGGTTGAAACTCAGAGTTTCCAAAAGTTTTTTTTAATGTAGCTGGGAACCTTTTGGCAAACATGGACACTGACTGTGCTGGCCGTGGAAGTCTGGAATCTGTGGTCCAAGCTGAGGTGGGGAGAGAGCAAATTTCCAGCCTCTGAACAAAGCAATGGTATCACCAAAGTGATAGCATAGGCAGACGGTGTCCCCTGTCTGGCTCTATTCCTTTGTGCAACCTCAGAATGTAAGACCGATCCGCCACAGAGGGTGGCCAACAGTCAAGCCACACGTTTTCCCCCTCATGTCCTCTCGGTCTGACATCTGCCTCCCTGCATGACAGGTTTAGAAGTGTGGACAGCTGCCAGAATGACAGGTGATCAGGATTTTGGAGAAAGAAGGTGAGGCATCCAGTCTTCTTTCCCTAAATTGGGGCTGGGGTGGGGTGGGGGAGTTTGGGGTCCACAAAGTGGGAGGGCAAAATCCCATAAAAATTAAGGTTTTTTGAAAACTGGAAATGCACCTAGTAGGCAGTCCTGTTGCTCTAACAGACCAACATGCTGTATTTTTACACATCCATTTTTACACAGAATAATTCTGAGGGAAACGGTGTTCAGACCAGACTAGATTTGAATGACGGAGGGTAAATTTAAAAGGAGGAACCATTACTTTGATGTTCTTAAACTTTCCAGAGGAGAGAAATTCAGGAACAATGCAAACCAAAATATACATGCATTTCCATGTGGGAAGAAAATACAAGGCCTCATAGTTTTAGAACAAAGCCGGGATAGGAATGTAGTACAGACAGGGAGAAACAAGATGCAACAGAAACAAAGATTTTCATGTTCCTGCTGAGTTCTAGTGCCTAGAATTGGTTCCATGCACTGAAACAATAATCCTGGAAGGTTTTTTAGAAAGGCTCCGATGGCTACATAACTCTGAGAACTTTGGAAAAGTTACTCGGATATAGATGGACACCTGGTGGAAGAAATGTGAGAAGAACCCCCTCCAAAAGATTGGTTGTGAGACAGCATGCGACAGACAGAAGGTATTCTGGATCATTAGTGTCATATCCCAAACATACCACGTCTAATGATCTCTTCTGGTTCCTGGAACCGAACTCGCCGCTCTGCTTTTCGTGTTTTGCTGAGATCTTGGTTGAAGGGTGGTCTTTTTCTCAGTATGGAAGGAGGGCATTTGGCATAGTGAGTCTAGAGAGGGATAAAAAGATCTTAAATGTTTATTTTCTCCTGCAGAAGTACCCAGGCTGGATAGCTCATTGGTTTTAGGTATCTGCCTGCTGAGCCAGAGATAGGAAGTTCAATTCCTGGGAGAAGAAACAACGTGTGTGGCTTTGGGCAAGCTATACAGTCTCAGGATGCCCCTAGAATAAGGGAATAGCCAACGACTTCTGAGTACTCTTTACCTAGAAAACTCCGTAAAGGATAACCATGAGTGAGAATGCAATGATGATGATGATGGTGAGGATTATGTCAGTATGTAGTTTCTCCTAAAAAGTGCCCAAGGCAGCTTGCAGTATTAAAAACAAACAATACTAAAGCTAAAACCAGTATGGTATTACAAGCCTAAAAAAACATAACACAAATATAATATTAAAACTGTAGGTAAAAACAATTCTAAAAACACATTAAAATCAAGAAAAACACAAGAGTGCTGACCTCCTCTTACCGGTAGGCGGCCAGTCACTGAGAAAAGGCCTGCCTGAAGATGAAGGTCTTTGCCTGCTTGTGGAAAGAAAGCAAAGATGGGGCCAGCCTGGCCTCCAGTGGGAGGGAGTTCCAGAGTCTTGGAGCAGCAGCAGAGAAGGCCCTCCCCTGTGTCCCCATCAGACACACTTGTGAAGGTGGTGGGACCGAGAAAAGGCCTCTCTTGATGATCTTAACACCCAGGCAGGCATCTATAGGGAGATGCAGTCTTTGTGAGAGCTACATGATGTGCAGCATATCTTTACCATTGTTTAGGGAAAATTGTATCTGTGAAGGGTGAAAATGTTCTTTCCTTTACAATAGTTTTGTTCCCTGTGTTAAGGGTCCTTTCTCACTGCTGTGTGATCCCAACCAGCCAACGTCTGCATAGTGAATACGGTCATTTCATGTCACAGTATAGCCAATCCAATCTGGGTATCTGGTAACATGACTTGGGAGTTAAGTGAAGTAGTCCCATTGCCATCATCTTGGAAGGTGTGTAGCATTGTTAGGTGTGAGGAAATAGGAGGAAACTGGGACTTGTAGTCATACAAAGATGGAGTCTATTAGGTTCTGTGTAAGATGGATTTAGGGAGAGGTGATCTTGACATTAGGTTAATGGCTTTCCTTTCCCTGACATTTCGGACCCCAAATCTGAGGCCACAAGAGAGGCCCTCGTGGTGTGACAAGAGGGTGGGTTCTTGTACAACAAATTATAACATGCACACTTGCATGAGTAACAGACTGTAAGAGAGATGGACAGTATACATCTCCTGCACTACCTCCCAGGAATGGAGACTCAAGACGTGGGACTCACTGGAGACTCAACTCAGACTCAGTATGTTGTTTTTCAGTTACTCAGACTTGAATCGCAACTCAGAACACACCCACCCTCACTTTTTTTTCCTGTGGAAAAGTTTGTTGTTAATTGGGACTTGGGGACTCAGACTTAGACTTGGGACTCAGGCAGAAAGATTTGCTAAGATCCCTGCTGTCTCCTAAACAGTTGTTCATTCATTCATTCATTCATTCATTCATTCATTCATTCATTCATTCATTCATTCATTCATTCATTCATTCATTCATTCATTCATTCATTTTAAAAATAGTTCCACCCCGCCTTTCTCCTAAAAAAGGATTCAAGGTGGCTATGTATGCACCCTGTTGGCAAACATAAAGGAGAAAAAGGAAAGGGGAAAAAAGGCAAAATATTTTTAGTAAACAGATTTATTTCAGTGCGAGCTATTGTGGATTAAAAATTCACTTCTTTAGACACAGTGAAAGCAAATACATGTCCCATGTATTTATTCTTGTTGTGGTGAAATCATTTCTAGGTGGGGATACAGATAACAGACACAGTGACAAACGCAATTCTTGTGTTTGTTGGCACCAGAATGGTAGTGTTAATTAGTTAATTATCAAGTTGTTAATCAGCAGATCCTAGGCAGGGTAGCAAGCCATATGCCAAGTAGACTTGGCTGTTACAGGAATGCTAAGAGTTGTTAGTGGCAGAGATGTTTGAGTCTGTCAAGCAAGATAACTATTTTATTCCATTAGGACATTAGGGAAACCTTGGTTATTAATGTGTGTGATGCACTAGGGAAGCCTGGATCTCTATTTAGTCCCTTGCATACAAATGCTTTAGTGCTGAGGCCATGAAAGATGGAGCCAACTTAGAGCAAGAAGGTAAGTGCACTGGCTTTAAATCCATTTCATGCAACAAAAAAAGATTTTATTTTCCTCCTCCACTCGCCTGGAGATGCGTGTCCCCGTCTGGAGAACCAAAGAAGGATAGCTATTCCCCGAGGCTGACTGGCCTCCTGAAACCTTAGAACCCTAACTGCTGTGAGAGAAGTCATGTGTCCCCTACATTATTTCAGCAGCTGCAAAAAGTTAAATAAAATTAAATTTAAACATCTCAAGCTTTCCCTGGGGAAGCTTTTTGTGGAAACATGAGGGAATCCATGAACCTCAGCTTCTCGTTTTAGATGAGAACGGACTGCAGCTTCCCTTTTACCGACAGATAGGTAAAGCCACATAATTAGTGTTTTTGAGTGAACAGGGAAGTTAGTTCAACTCTGGGGATCCAAGTTCACAACATTATCTCACTGTCCAGTGCTCTGAGGCACATAATTTCTGTTGGCCACGCCATGTGACTTTTATTGGGTGGATTAAAGCCCTCAGAAAACAATCTGGCTGTGGAGCAATCGTATATCTCTCCCATGCCAATATCGTTATGGCCATATTTTATATGTTTTACAAATTAGATCCATTATTAGAGTAATAAAGCGGGATCTGAACATTAGAATTTCTTACTGATATTACAATAAAATTATTGATAGAATTTTAGTTGGGAAGAGCCAAGATTTACTGTTCCGTAGCAGTTTAAAGGCGATGGTAAAAACTCTGGAGACTTGCCATCATTAAATATAGATATTTCAGTCAAGACGGCTCAGCATGGATAGCTGAAATATGTGGTTTTTTTATTGTCCCTGCCATGTCAATAGCATGAGGAAGAGTTTATTCCTTTGTTTTCCTAGGGCTATTTGTAGATCAAGTTCTTGTTGTACATCTTTTTGGATGTAGAAGAAAACTGAGCCCTATAAAGGCTTCTCGGGTACAAGAGGCCTTTTTATGGTTCTGTGGGATGAAGAAGGCTAATGCTGTCCTTAATAATTAACACAAAGCCTCCTATTTATGGGATATACCCTGTTTGCCTGAAAATAAGCCAGGGTCTTATATTAATTTTTGCTCCAAAAACGCTTATTTTTTTTTCATGTACAACAATCTACATTTATTCAAATGCAGTCATGTTATCTTCTTCTGGTTGCTGCACAATGGTGGAGGGTGGAGTTTCACTTAACTGGAGCTTATTTTTGGGCCAGGGCTTATATTACGAGCATCCTAAAAAATAATACTAGGCCTTATTTTCAGGCTAAGGCTTATTTTCAGGGAAACAGGTACTAATCTGAACAAAAAAGGGTTGCAAGATAGTCCTCAGGGGCTATAGACCTAAAGATGGTAGTTAGAAATGGGCACGAACTGATTCATCCCAGTTCGTTCTAGTTCATCCCAGTTCGTAAAGATGGCAGCACAGGTGCTGCTCTTTCTCCCTGCCACTTCTTACTCAAACAGCTACTCATCAGGCCCAGTTTGCTTCCTTTGTCTGCCTCCTCAGCTGATCCCCCAGTCAGGAGCAGGAGCTCAGACGTCTCTGCCCCGCCCTTTTCTCTGAGTGACAGATCAGCCAAGAGGGCAGGGCAGAGAAGCCTGAGCTCTTACCGGGAGTGGAAGATCATTTGAGATGGAAAAAAACAAGCAAGTTGGGCCTGGCGAGGTGCGAGAGGTGGGGGAGGAGAGCATCATCCTCTGTTCTGCCTCCTTTACAAAACAGGAGAAACCAGTTCATGCCAACCTTTAATGGTACCACCGTTTTTCGAGATCTCTGTAACTCTACAGAGTCTCCTCCAAAGTTAATTGGCCACAGCCCTTTAGCATCAAAGCATTTAAGAGGCTTTCGAAATAGGGGTTAGGTGCTTCTACACCAGAACACCTGAGGATTTCATTTGGGCCATCATTCCCAGCATCTGAAGCGCCATAGAATCTCTATTTTTGACCACACATAAGAATAGTGAGAAGACAATAACAGCAGAAACAAATCGTTGCCTACACAACCTGTTTGTGACCCTCTTTGGGATCCACATAGTAAGATCTGCAGGTGCATTCCCTGCTCCCTGCATTCTAGGTTGCCCACCTCTTCTGTGATGTCATTGCAGTCAAGCCAATCATACAGGGAATGCACGCCCTGGATCACCAAACCAAATTCACCATTTACCAGAACTGTCCTATTACACTCAGAGTCACAGTGGGTGGTGACCATGCTAGCGAATGAGTGGTAGAATCTCTGCATGGATGGCAAATGGACTGCAGCTCCCAGATCCACCCAGCCACCATGGTCATATCTCTGCTAGAAGCATCCCTGGATTCAGTCTTACCTTCTCTTTCATGTACATTGGAAAATCTGAAGGAACGTCTTCATGCTGCAAAAAGTGGACATTTGAAGGATTTCTGAAAGCCCTGGGAACACTGGCTTTTCATGGTGCCTGTAGTGATGACACAATGCAGTCAGAGAATGGCAGAGGGAAAATAACTCCTGAAATACAAACTGAACAGTCAAAGCCATGAAGATCTTCCACTGCACACATCCCAACATTACAAGACCATGACTTAGTCAAGCCTGAATTATTATTTTATTTATTTATTTTAAATATCTTTAACCCACTGTTCTCCTTAAAAAGGACCCAGGGCAGTTTACAACAATTAAAAGACTGTATTTAAGTTAGTTATAATGAGTATACAATACTAAAAGGATCAATAAATACAGTACCAAAAAACATAAGCAAAGCCAAAACAAATTCAGTGCATTAAGGTACAACTACCCATTTTAAAAACCCCTCTCGGCAGCCATTCAGTCAAGGAAAGCTTGCCTGAAGAGGAAGGTCTTCACCTGATTGCAGAAGGATAGTAAAGATGGAGTCAGTCTAACCTCTTGTGGGAGGGAGTTCCAGAGAATTATTCAAGAGCTTTGAAACATGGGCCAGTATTCTGTTGTGTAGCTCCGCCTGCATAACAGGGATGGCAACATTGTTGCTGGTAGATTTCTGCTAATTAAAGACTTCATTTTTGAGTTTCAGGGCACGTACAACTTTGTCTCATTGTATGTGAGTTATGCACACTCCAAATCTGAACTCTGTAATCAGCATCAATCTGCTGTTGACTGTGATGTCATTCCTGTTGCACAGAGCGGTGGAGACTGAGCTCTTTTTGTTTGAATGACAGATAATATCAGCGGCTTCATTTTAGGAGTTGTACTTCACAAATGTAGACTTTTCCAAGTTCTGGCTATTGCAAAAAAGAAAACTGAAACCTAGTAAGGGCACTTATGCCATTTAAGGGTGATGAGATTAGCTGTGGTGTTTTTTTTTAAAAATAAAAAACATTCCAATTCCTCCCGCCAGCTCCTTGGGATCCCTTTTACCATGGAGAAGCTGCTGGGGGAATTCTAGAATATCTGAACATCATGGCCAATGGTAAAAATAATGGTAAAATTAACTGCCAGCAAGACAGCCTCCACTGTCTTCTCCACAATGAAAGGGATTGCGAGACATTTGAGGCCCAGGAAGGAGGGGAGATAGGAAATTTTTAATGCTCAAAAAACCTCTGCAGTTGATGATGTCATGAGCCTGACATGGCATTAATTCATTAAAAATATTTTCATCCCGCCTTCCTCCTTTGAAAAGAAATCTGAGGTGGCTTAACGTCATTTAAAGTCAATATTTAAAATGAAAAGCAGTAAGTATACACATACTGAAAAGGATCAAACAAATGCCACTCTCAAAAAATGTAAACAAAGGCCACACCAAAACCACACTCAAAGAGGTAAGGTAGAACAATCCATTTTAAAAACTTTATTCAGGCAGCCAGTCCCTCAGGGAAAGCCTGCCTGAAGAGAAAGATCTTTGCCTGCTTGAGGAAGGACAGCCAAGATGGGGCGAGCTTGGCCTCTAGTGGGAGGGAGTTCCAGAGTCTGAGAGCAGCGACAGAGAAGACCTTCTCCCACCTCAGCAAACACACTTGTAAAGGTGGTGGGACTGAGAGAAAGGCCTCTCCCGATGATCCTAACAGCCGTGTAGGCTCATAGAGGCAGATGTGGTCCTCAAGACAGTTTTGGACCCAGGCTGCTTAGGGCTTTATAAGTTAGGATCCACATGTTGAATTGTGCCCAGAAATGGATCAGCAGCCAGGGAAGCTTCTGTAACAGGGGAGTTATGTGATTCTCATGACCAAACCCCAGTTAGCCATCTGGCTGACCCAAGAGTTCCACTGTTGGTTTTCAGTGATCATTCCGGAATTACCTATTTTGAATGAGCTTTGTCAATATGGGACATATCATTTATGGAGTAACACAGCCCAGAATTCTGACACCAAACTAAAGCATCATATGGAGAATGTGTGAGTTCTGTAGGGGTTTTAAGATCTGGATTTAGGGAAAGAAGCACTTAACCTGCCGTGAACATGTATTCAAAGAGGATTGTTACATGCTTCATTTACAACTATATACACAGATACCGGAAATCTCACTGTACCAAAATTCTGAATTTTTGGGACTTACCTTGGCTCTTCCTGGCTCTGTGGGCAAAGAAATTGATGTTTCATCACAGCTGTCACAGCCACATTTCACTGCTTAATGGACTTGAGCAAACCTGAAGGACAAGCGAGTTCTAATAATCAAGTAAGACTTGTGATGGATCAGAAAGACTATGCAGCAGTGATATAATAAACATCTTAGAACTGCAATACTGGAAGGAATCCTATAGATCCTCAAGGCCAGCTGCTGTCAAGGAGGCCCAGTGGGGAATTGAACGCCCAACCTCTGATGTCTAAAACACCAAACTATCCAGCAATAGGCGGTTGCATGTGTCATCCTCAAATAAAAGAACGAGAAGCCACAAAAATATTCTCCATGCACGGTATTCTGCCTAAGCCATTGAGCTCTCGGGCAGATCTGTTAAGGATAAACCGGGACGAAATGGAGACAAGAATATGGACGAAATGGAGACAAGAAACTCAAGACGTTTCTGGAGAGAGCTCTTGGCTCCTATTCTGTAGGGGCAGTGAGTTTGCTTCAGTGTTTTTGCACATACATTACTGTTTGGATAACTCAGTAAGTTGGAGCATCTACCAGTGGGACCGGATGGCAGTTCAATTGCCCCTGTGCCTTGTAGGGGGAAATCCAGGCAAGCTGCACAGGGCCAGAGTGCCCCCTGAAGAAGGGAACGGTAAACCGCTTCTGAGTCCTCATATACCTAGGAAACCCAGGAATCTGATCTGGCTTTTATCTCCTTGTTTTAGATGTACAGATCACTGAATCTGCTCAAGTAGCTTTTGCTTTTTGACAGGAACAGAATCTGCCTCTTCTATTTCAATCCAGATCTCATCTTGATCAGACTGGGCTGGTTCAGGATTCTGGATCAGCAGCTATGCATGCAGGGCAATTCACTGAAGTATTAACACGGATCAACTCTTCCCACAGTTCTGCCACAGAAGAGGAGACCTGGAATTTTCTTATGCATAATCTGTTATTCACTAACCACTGCAGTATTCACAAATCACTAACAATAATTTTGCAGGGGGAAAAAAAAGGACTGTGAATACACAGAAGTCCTCCATTCCTTCTTACGCTTCCTGACTGCAGGGACGCTGAGCAGTAAACATTATGCAATATACATTCTTTTATGCACACAAAAAAAGTGGCTATGAACTCTCCACCCCCTCCGTTCCTTCTGCAGGAATAAATACTCAAGACAAGCAAAGTACTTTGTAAATGATGCTTTTGTATAGCTTCTTACTGCCTGGTTCAATTATTCCAAAACCTAGCAATTTTCTCATATCATTGAATCTGGTTTTATTGCAAATAGGGTCATAGAAATAGTCATTCCCGGTGATAATGGACTTAGTTTATCTTAACTATTAACACTTCCAGAGGCTGTGCGTGCCTGCATAGATACAACATTTATGTATATATATATGTGGGCGGTTGCGCATATATTAATAATGAAGTAACCTTATCCCGTGCAATCTGAAAACAAAATCATGTAATAGCAGGCCGCCAAGCGTGCCGGTGTAACTGGAAGCTAGCATCTCGGGCTTACAGAACAGACGGATAATGAATAAATCAGGAAGGAACTTGCACCGTTCCTTTGGCTTCCCACGCATCAACCGATCCTCCATTCAACTTCCCAGCTTTTCTGTTCGGGACATGTTTGGTAAATAATAGGGTAGAACATCCGTTTGCAACCAGAGAGAGAGAGAGAGATGGGGTTCCCCTTTCTCAAGTACAATTATTCACAGCCGTGTAAAACAATCACAAACACCATGTCCCATAGCAACCTGAGTAGCAGGGAACGGCAAACAATCTAGTTCTGGGTAAGCGGAACATGATTTTCCAACGACAGATTCGCAGTTGGGTGGGATGGGTGGGCATTGAACTGGAGACCATGTGGAGGATTTTATTGTTCTCTGAGGCATCTCACAGAGAGTATCTCTTTGTTAAGCAAACTGGTATGGTTGGATGGTGGCGAGCATTCCAACACAGGAAGCATTAAAGAGGAAATCGGACAACCATCTGGCAGATCTGCTGTGATTTGTATTCCTGCATTGAGCAGGGGGTTGGACTTGATGGCCTTATAGGCCCTTTCCAACTCTATTATTCTATGATTCTCAGATATCCAGGCATTTCATATTGAAGCTGGCCATTGTGCCCTCTAGTCTAGCTGTGACAGCTACAGTATGAGGCAGGGATAGTCCAAGACATTCTGCTGCCTGAGGCAAAGGATTGCAGTTGAATCATACTTCAGCGCCAGCAAAAAGCCGGCATCCTCTACTGCCTCTGACAGCAACAAGACAGTTTAGGACCGGCTACATGTGGCCCCAAGGGATATTATTAAAGCCCACAAAGCCGCCACAGAGCTCCTTGTTATGGCATTATATCTGTATTTTTATCTATACCTATGCCTCTATAGTATCAAGGGTTTTTTCTATTCCCGGAAGACTCATGAAGCAGCTGCTTTTTGATCACAATGGGTCCCTCAAGTCTCCCTACTCCAAAAAAAGCAAAACAAAGCAAGCAAGCTAGGGGTCCCTCAAGTCTCCCTACTCCAAAAAAGCAAAGCAAAACAAGCAAGGAAGCAAGCATGAATGAATGAATGAATACATGCCAAACGTCAATGCTAAAAGTTTGCATCTGGTCACCTCTTTTTGTTTTATTATGTCTACGTTTTCAGTCTCATTTGGTGATTTCCAGGAATGACACAGAGAGCCCAGGGCCAACAACTGGGAATTTGCCACCGCTGTCTCTGGCCTCTTCTGTGTGAGGTGGCCTCCTCACTTTGAAAGCATATCTATTGCACTGATTTAAATGTGCAGTTCAATAAGTCCCGCTGTCTTCAAACACAAACTCGAAGTTCTGCCTTTCAGCAGGAAAAATCAGATGCACAAAGCTAGGATGTGTGCAAAGGATTGAGGCTTGGGGGCATGGGGCATGCTTGCAAACAAGAGAGTGGCTTGTTAAGATTTGGTACCTTAGAGCAGGTGAGCAAAGCATACCTTCCAACAGATTTTCAGTAAGATTATAGGTATTCATAAAAATACCAGCATATGCTTTATTATATAAAAGGCAAGAGACTGGGCTGAAGCTGGATCTGATCTACAGTACTGGAGCATCTCAGAGACTTGAGGTTTCTACTGTAAGCTCTCCACCCATTTTTTTTCAAGGCAAGGTCTGAAGATGAATACTGTAGCAGAAACACAGAACAGACTGACTGGTTGACTCCAGACAAGGGCGGCAAATTCGATCAACACATACCTGCTCTTTGTGACGAAAGGCATACTCCGAAGTCTTGCAGAGATACAACTAACTCGAGAAGCTTGGAAATCCTTCAGAAGAACAGCTGCTCCTCTCCGTCCTCTTGGTGCAAATTCTTGAAAGCCGTCAAAAGATGTTGCAATCCGACGAGGTGATCAGATGAGTCATCCTGAGACCTGGAAATAAGATCCAGAGAGTTGTTCAGCTGCAAGAGGGATCAGACCGAAACACTGAAGTTTCCATTGAAATTAAACAAAGAGTCTTGAATTGCTTGGAGAGTGAGAAGCGAAAGCTTCAGTAAGACCAGCAGGCCAAGAGCTTTGGGCCGCCACTTGAATTGATGAGGCACAAGCCGCTCTGCGGGTCATAATAGAATCTGATAGCAGAACAGAACACTCACTTAGGGAAGCAGGCTTTGCAAAACGGCTGGAGCATTCAGTGGGATACAATTTTCCTGGCAAATCTAGATTTTCTTCCTACGGTTGAGTAGTTTTGTTATGGGATCAAATTAAGGAGAAAAAGAAGTGGCAAAGAAACGGAGAAAGTGATTCTTCTTTTCAGCTTGCCAAGCCTGAACATGCGAATGCCACTGAAATAAGCTGAACGGATCAGGAAGTGACAAGCCTTACGACTTTTTGTTTTTTCTTTCTTTCTTCAGGGAGTGTATTCCAAAAGAGGAGCCTAGGATATTTGATCTGCAGAGTCTAGAAAGGGCTCCAATTCTTGTAACCATACTGGAATGAGTCTCGTTTTGTGTCTTGGCTCCTGAAAACAGATGTTTATTAATGGAGAATGAAATACAGGCTACACTTATCTACGTACTAATCAGGATTAAGGCTGAAATCAGTCTTCCATCTGGGTGAGAGTATACCGTAAGAGAGAATGCTGTTCTTGGCGAAATGGGATGGAGTTTCTGTAGCCTGTTGGTGGAAAGCCACTGTTGTTTTAAGGCCTGTGGGCCACATGGAGTCTTCTGGTGACCAGCGTGGTGGAGGAGCAGTAGGAGAGGCCACTACCAGCAGGGTGCAATGGCCAGTGTGTTGAACTGGAACTCAAGAGTCCCAGTCCCAGTGAACCTTGAAACTCACTGGGTAGGGTTGGGTCCATGGCTTTCTTTCTGCCCTCCTATTTCACAGATGGGCATGAAGATAACAGGAAAGGAGGAGGAGAAGCACGTATGCCACTTGGAGCTTGGTAGGGAAAAGACGGGGTATTGTAATAACAAGGGTTAAAAAAAATAAACAAGAAATAGGCAAACAGAGCCAAGGAGGAAATGTCAGTCCCAGTTCATCTGGATCCAGAGAGCAGAGAGAGAGATTCAGAAGAGGCTCACACCATGGCGGGCTAGTTTAGCATGCATATTTTTTACTTCCAGTGTGTCGAAGCAAACAACACAAGAAGTGGAGCAAAAGTCATCAACGCATCTATAAAGGCACTTACTTGCCTGAGATTCTCTCGGTGTTGCTGCTTGCTCGAGGCCCCATCGGCAAGTAAGCTGTAGGCTGAGCCTTCCCATGTGTTTATACTGCAGAAGGATGTTTAATGTTCCTGTCTTTTGTCTGAAGATCAAGTGAGGTTAGCGTCTGTGCCAAGAAGCAAAACAGTGCTATAGCTGGTGGAATAAATGCTGGCTTCTCTCAACTGGTGGGAGCTTTAATTGATTTGTGTTCCGAATGCATAGCTTCCTCTCTTCCTCTCACAGCTCCTGAAATGGAGTTTTGCTTTTTGAACCCACAGCGCTCATGCCTTGAAAGAGGTCTATGCGGAAGATTTGCACAGTCAAAGCCACTCTTCTGATGCTCTTTTAAAAGGCTGGCTTCTATATTTGGCCATAAATGAATGATTGTGGTGTCCAAGCCAACAACATATAGGCTTTTCGAACAGTATTATAAACACAATGAAGGGGTAGAAGGATTTCTCTAAGGTGCCCACAGTATTATCTAGCTTGTGGCTTTGGAAGGGCTACCTCAATACCACAATATTTTAGAGAGGTGTTATTTTGCTCTGGTTATAAGCTGTCTCTGTTATGTAGTTGGACAGTCCTTTTTCTGAAGGCATCCTCTACATCAGAACCATATTTTTCCATGTATAAGGAGCCCCCCCCCCATTTTTCTAATCCGAAATTAAGAAATCTAAGTGGGGCTTAGCAAGTGTAGGGGGAAAGGGATCCCTGCTTTCCCCTCCATTTGCTTTTGTTCTCTCCTCAGCTTACTTCCATGTATAAGACGACCGTCAATTTTTAGTCTAAAGATTTTAGACAAAAGTATAGTCTTATACATGGAAAAATACATTGCATCCCTACAACTATCAGAAATCCTGATCAGCACACCTAGTGGTGAAGGCTTCTGGGAGTTTTAGTCCAAGAACATCTAGGGACCCAAGGCTGGGAACCACTGCTCTATGTGAAGGATTGCCCCATCCAGGTCTTCATTAAAAATGAAGAATTATCAGAAAGATAAACAGAAGAGAGTTCTTGAAAATGCACATCAACTCCTATTTATATGTTACATTTTTTTTATCCCACCTTTCCTCCAGTGAGGTCAAAGTGGCATATGTGGTTCTTTTCCTCTCCAGCTTGACAACAACCTTGTGAATCAGGGATGCCTGAGAAACAGTGACTCACTCAAGGTTGAAAACGTGGTCTTTTATTTGCCCCAAGGTGTAACCAGAGATGATCTCAGGCTATTCATAGGTGCAATTAATTTAAAGATTTATTTAAATCACAGCAGATACACAAGGAATAAGATCCATGAAATGGAAGCAAAATATAAAAGAAATCAGAAGAAAACCAATGAATTTGTCAAACAATACAAATATACTTTTGTCTTAGCAAAAATGAGTAGCATAAACTACCCAATGAGTTTCATGACTGACTGGGGATTTGAATACAGGCCTTCTCAGTCTTAGTCTGAGACTCTTACTAATGCCTATGTCACACATAGTCACACAGCTGGGCATAACTAGGCATGTCCCTCCACAGAAGGCACCTCACGCCACTTGTTCCGTCTCTTCAATGCAGGAACCTATGAGGTGGAGACTTCCAGGTGTCTTGAACTGCCACTCCCTTTAGCCTAAACTCAACATAGCTAATGGTGAGGAATCTTGGGATCTGTAGTCCAGCAACATCTGGAGGATAATACTTTGCCAAACTCCAGATGTCATGTGCGACTTCCATAAAAGAGAGATGGCATTTTGGAAATGCCATTGTCTTTGTTTTACAAATCCCTGTACTCTCCCTGGCTGCTTGTTGTCATTTTAGAGCTGTACCTAATAAATTAAGGCTTAGAAGTCTATTGGAGAGACAAACCTCCCAGTCTACCTTGGGGCATGAAAGCAGGCGCTGATGTGGTAACTGACATGCTGCAGCTTCTTCTCCACATTCCCGAGGCAGTTGCACCTGCTGATTTTTTTCAGAGGCACTCGTTCTTGTGGCGATTTGCCCATGTTCCCCCCCTCGATTAATAAACATAAAACAGCAGGCAGCCGGTTGGCTGTGAGTACAGATAGTGAGCGGGCAACACAGGGAGTCCGTTGTTATTGTTCCTCTGGGAAGTTTGAAGTCCGAACTCTATCAGGCCCACACAGAAATGGTGATATTAACAACTTCCTCGAAATTCCACGCAGGTCTGTGTAGTGTAAATTGTTCTGTGCTGCTATTTGCAGATAGGGAATATATGGAGAACTCTGTGGAGTCCCTGTGCTGGAAAAAAAAATCATAAATGTGAACAGCTGGATAGAAATTTGAAGGAATTATCTATCTATCTATATATAAACCTCAAAGACAGAACTTCTCTATGTGGGCATATAGCGTCTTTTTTGCACGCCTCCGCATCTCCATTCTCTCTACCACCTCGCCTCAAGCAAGGAAGCGGCTGGATTTCTCGTGCATGGAAGACTGTGAATGTGTCCATAAAGTCAAATTACAAAAGGGAGTGACTCATCCCAAGGTGCAATACAATAACCCACACTGTTGATATACATGGACCAATGTTGGGTACCATAAGAGAATAATACTCTAGCATGGTTTCCAACTCTGGCTGCGCAGTTGTTCTTGGACGAAAACTCCCAGAAGTCTTCATCACTAGCTGTGCTGGCCAGAATTTATGTCAGCTGTAGTCCAAGAACATCTGGGCTACATCGGAACATCTCAAGGTTGGGAACCACTGCTGTGGAGGATTTTTTTTCAAGCCCCAGGCAGAAGTAGCTGGTGACTCTCCTTTGGGGTGCTGTGTAGCCATTCTGTATTTTAGGAGTCTTATCCAACTGCTGGGTCCTCTGCCCAAAACGGGTTCAGCATGTTGGACAACTAAAGCCCAGGATGGGTTCTTTCATGTTTTGGACTCCAATCTCCGGAATTCTCCAAGAATTCCCCTCCTAGAATTCTGGGATTAGCAGCTCACAAATGCAAATGGGCAGATCCTTACGTTTTTGTCCTCCTCCACCCATCCAGGAAGAACATACCTCAGATTCTGTATCAACATCTCCAGCCTTTGCCTCCTGTGTACAGTGAAAAAGCATAAGCAAGCTGCTGCAGTACAGTGGTGTGTCACTTAACGATTGCCCCGCATTACGACAAAGCCACTTTACGGCGATCTTTTTGTGATCGCAATTGCGATGGCAAAATGATGGTCTAAATGGGGGAATTTCACTTTGCGATGATTGGTTCCCTGCTTCAGGAACCGATTCTTCGCAAAATGATGTTTTTTGAACAGCTGATCGGCGGTTTCAAAATGGCTGCTGGGTGATTAAAATGGCTCCCCGCTGGGTTTAGGGGCGGATTCTTCGCTATACAGGCAGCGAAAATGGCCGCCACATGGAGGATCTTCGCTGGACGGTGAGTTTTTACCCCATTGGAACAGGTTTCAATGCGTTTCAATTGGGTTTTTATTTTCGCTTTACAATGTTTTTGCTTAACGGCGATTTTCCTGGAACAGATTATTGTTGTTAAGCGAGGCACCACTGTACTTCTTGGGCATCATACTTCTTTTAGAGGTGCCCTCTATTGAAGTAGCAAAACTACCACTCCCAGCATCCTCCACATCTGACAGCAGGGTGGTTGACCTCCTGAGCAAGGAGAATCAAATCAAATCATATAAATGTATTGTCATTGTAAGTATATACATAGTATACCCATACAATAAAATTCACCCAGACACCAGAATGCTGCTTTCTCCATTTAAGCTGCCCATCAGGCTCAGTAGAAGGTGCCTACTGAAGAACTGTGACTCCCAGGAAGCACTGTGACAGCTTTCTTGTTTTTAAAAGGTCTGAAAAGCTGATGCAGCATTGAAAGCAACCCTTCTCTCTGGGGGCAAAATCTAGGGGTCTGCTGATTTGTGATTGTGGTTAGAATTCCCAGAATTCAGGTTGGGGAATTACGGTCTGCTGATTTGTGATTGTGGTTAGAATCCCCAGAATTCAGGTTGGGGAATTATTGGAGAATTCTGGGAGTTGGCGTCCAAAAACATGAAACAGCACAAGCACAGGAACTTCAAAAGTGAAATCACTGCCCACATCCTAAGAATTTCTGGGAGTTGGAGTCCAAAAACATGAAACAGCAGAAGTCCTGGGACTCACAGGAGCTTCAAAAGTGAAA